ACAAAAATCAAACACTTATCCCAGCTCCACTTAGTCAAAATTTTCCAGAAAACAGTCATCACTATGACCGTCAAAATGATTAAACACGAGACCCAATTCGAAAAAATCGTGAACATTTTCACACTGTCTCTAACAATTCTTCTAGGAGGTAAAGTAAAGTAYCACTCGGCTCGAAAAAAAGAAAAACTYGCTTCAAAWTTTTCGRCAATAYGTTTAGSTTSTYTCAAAGTAGGWACAACASCTGCYTCAATCCGTCTTTCAATCATATCTTGAATTAAAATGRTATAAGTCATATTCTCACGCAWTTCAACSATGTAAMGTTTATTTTCCTRRAAATATASAAATTTTGCATTCAWWAGTGWAGCCACTCCATTCAATATTTGWATRCCAWGACCAGGATTGGATAAATTAAAAGGATCCATAATAACAGTGGTAAAAGGARTCCAAGTGATGTTGATCGAGCAACCTCCKACATTTTTAGGGATTTTATTTAAAAACGGGTTTGAYGATWTTGYAATTGTCACTAAATTTACKACACTGCCACAACCATTTTGYCTATCGTAGGGATACCACGTAACAAATTTTGTCCAATTKGTATAAATAACAACATTGTAAATATATCGYYTCCAAAACGTATTGAATGTTGACTTTAATACGTCTTCAGTAACATTATTTTGAAATACTARAAGAAAGTGAGATCTTGTGTTAAATTCTCTCAAACATTTTATTGTTTTCAATAAGTCGTTAAAAGAATCTTCAATAATTAACATATTTTGTGTATTCGTTAKCARATWAGTGTGAGTGATTATTTTTGGTTGGTTTATTRTAAATAAGAATTCCAATCTGCTATCCCATTTGAACTTTGTACTCATAATGGTTAARGAATCATTAAAATATTCTCTTATAAAATTGTTTAATGAAAATGAAGTTTSAAATAATAAAATATAGAGAAAGGTTTTGAATATCATCATTGTAATAAWAAGTCTAATTCATTCCAGAGTTGTGTGWTATATTTGCATTATATTTATTTGAAATAAATATTTTATMATGTTATTTATTATTGTTATCTTGTCAAATACATTACGCCAGAAAAAKCGTAATTTATAAATAATAAGTCACAATATAAAAAAGAGAACAGTGCTGCTACTACTGYCATAAAAAATGTCTAAGTAATTAGGGCGGTACCAGAAAATATCCACATATTATTAAGAATATGAATACCAATCATTTTTTGTTTTACTTTATATTCAATTGTATAGACTAATATTAGAAATATTARATTGAATTGTGTACCGGGATAGGCAATGGTTACGCGCAGAAAAGAACCRCACTTTTAATTACATAAAATTGTTGAAATTTCACACTTACCTGGGCATTTCATAATTTTTTGGTAATTTTTCATTTACAAACAAATCCAAAATAAATAGAAAGTAATTTTCTCCCAAAAAGTCAAATTCTAATTTTTATACTGACCTGCACAGATTCACGATATAAAAAAGAGAACAGTGCTGCTACTACTGGCATAAAAAATGTCTGAGTAATTAGGGCGGTACCAGAAAATACCCACATACAGAGTGCGCCAGAACTTGCGACCCAGAGAAAACTTTCAATTAAGGTAAGATACCAGGAACATCAAAAAAATATTTAAAAAATTCTATGTGTCAAAAAATTTTGACATTTATTTTTTGACATTAGACATTTTTTATATCTATTTAATAATACAGATGATCTTGTATATGTTTTTTTTTACAATTATTTAGTAAAGGGACAAAAATTTTGCCAATAAAAGCCACAAATCACATTGAACAGAGTTACAATTTAGGATACAGCTTCCTTGTTTCCTCTTTTAATAGCATATAGCAAAAAAACTCTATGTTCCTGGTATCTTACCTTTTCTCTGAGGCACGAGTTCCGGCGTACCCTGTATTATTATAAATATAAATACCTATAATTTTTTGTTTTACTTTATAGATAGATATTCAGTTGTATAGACTAATAAAAAAAAATAAATAGAAAGTAATTTTCTCCCAAAAAGTCAAATTCTAATTTTTATACTGACCTGCGCAGATTCACTTCCTGTAATTGTTTACGAAATCCAATTTAAAAAAATCCAATTA